ATGTGGGAAAACCCATGAAGAGAACCCTTCTACATTCAGGTATAACAACTGATGTTTGTGCCCAATGCAGAGCTATTCCCGGTAACCATGGCAACCAAGAGCCAGGCTCCACTTGTGCAGAATTTCTGTGCTGTTTATTTTTTATTATGGGCCATGGGTAGGGAACTTGGGGTCGGTTGTAGCTTATGAAACATCCATTTGCAATATTGCCAATGTAGGGAAGGAAAAAAAATCTTTTTTCTGCTACCGGCTAGGTTCTTGGCTGGGGCTCTGTAACCAAAGACAGATGAACAAGGGGAAAGCATACACATTTATTGAATATAAGTTTTATGTGACATGGGAACCTTCATAAGGAAATGAAGACCCAAAGAAAGGGTTAAACCTGGGTGTTTTTATATTAGGTTTGATGAAGAGTGGAAAGTCGTGGGAAAACATGATAGGACAAAGGGTATGAGTAAACTGGGGGAAACCTAGTGAGACCTGTCGGTTCAGATTCCTCTCAGCTGGGTCTCTTCATCTGCAGAGATAAGGATGTTACTTTTCTTGGGCGGGAGGCCTCCGGGGAGAAGGAGGCAATCAAAGGTTCCTTCTTGCCATTTCTCAAATTCCTTCAGCTTAAAATACCCAATATGCCAAGGCACCATATTTTGGTATAATGTGTCCTGAACCCCATCATCAAGCACTTTGTCAACTATAAGGGTGTAGGGAGAGCAGTCTCTGTGTACTTGTGTTTGAAACCAGGCATATGACAATTGGACCATTGCTGTGGCCATTTAACTGGTGCCCCTGCATCTGTCCTTGCTTCCCTCCCCGCCTAACTTAACAGAGCCGCCGGAAGGGTCTTTCCTAAAGGTCATTCAACTCCTATCACTACCAAGTCCCCTGCTTCCATGGCTTCCCATCAGACTTGGGGAAAACCCCCAAGTCCCTACCATGACCGACAGGGCCTCCATGAACCTGAATGCTCTTTTATTACTGTAGGCAGAAAGAATAGGGCCATGGGGAGAGAGAGAGGAGGAGGAAGGCAAGAAAAAAGTAAGGGGAGACAAAGGAAGGAGGAGATAAAATCATTCTTAAGAAAAGGTGCAGTCATCAGACCGGCCAGCGTTAGATTTGGGTGAGTCGGGACGCCATGTTGGCCCTCAAGGTGAACTGTAGCTAACTGTAATAGGTTGCAATACTACTAGCATTGTGGGCAGGGGGCAATCTCCACCCCGTGTGTGGCCATGGCAGTTCCGACAAGAGCCAAATAAGGACAAGGGGATCCCAACTTCCGGCAGGAAGGAGTGGTCAGCACGTACGCGAACACCACCCTAAATCTTGAATATTTTGCGCCCTCATTGTAATAAAATCCTAAGCCTCTTTGTTCTTTGATGCAGTTGCTCTTCTCTGGGCCTGCCTGTTCGCACATATCTTGAGAGTGTACTATCTCCTTTTTTAAAATAAATCCACTGCTTGCTTGGTTTATTCGGTGCGTCCTTGAATTCTTTCCCGTGATGACACCAAGAACCCATTTTCCGGCAACACTTTGGCTTCACCGCGCCTCGGCTCCAATGGGACCTTGCTATACCTTGCCTGTGACAGGCACACTCCCGTCTTGGGGCCTTTTCCTGTAAAAATGATTTTAAATTAAATGAAAGATCCTTTACTCCACAAGCAATTAAAAAAACCAAAACACTTTTTCTTTTTCGGGAATAAGACATAGGATGTGAAAGAATGGTTAGTTATACTTAGAAAACGTAATGCTATTTCATTGGCTAAAAGAAAAAAACCCCAGATTACTATTTTCCTATCTCTAGCTGCAAAAGGCACTGACAAAGTTGATATGAAATGAGGAAAACTACCCAGATTTTTACATCTGGGAGAGTAAAGGAATTTCCATTTCAGGTGCTTTTGTTTGTCTGCAAATTCAGTTCGCAAAATTCCAGTATAAATAAAAACTACCAAAAAAAACAACCAACCCCAAACCCCTAAACACACAAAAAACCCCAAACCAAAAAGCAAACACTGACATGAATTCATCACACTTGGTTTGCATGTACTGTGCTTTTATACCCACCAAACAGTTTTTAAGGTCATTTCAAGTCATGTGAAACCATACTTTGTGAAGCTTGGAGTTTTAGGTGACTGTAAGTTTCTCTTTGGAAAGGTTAACATGTTACATCATAATAAGCAGCCCTGGGAAGCTACAGGGAGAAAGAGATCAAAATAGAATTCACACTTGATGGCTTCGAGATGATTTCTTCAACACCATTTGAAAACACGTGTTAGTTTTGTGCCTCTTTTGGGGAGTTCTGTCATGAGGCAGGCAGACTGTACATGCTTAGGCCTTCCGAGCCCTGACAGAGCAAGTTAGGAAAGTCAGGAGAAAAGAACTGGTGAAAATATATAGGTGTGTGGGTAACTCTGAAGTAAACTTGTTAAAAGGATCATGATTAACATTCTATGGGCCGGCCAAGTGGCGCAATGGTTAATAACTGGCTTGGGACGCCAGAGGGCCCCAGTTCGGATCCCACATATGAGGGCCAGTGACACTGCCCTCTACAGCTAAGATGCTGACAACAGCTCAACCTGGAGCTGGGCAGCCGTGAGTCGCCGGCGATGGCATAGGCTGCAGCCCCTGCTGCAGTGGGTTGCCATGGGCTACCGTGTGTAGCCAGCAGCCGCAGTGAGCTGCCGTCCAGAAGCCAGCGACTGATCTGCCTCGCCCGGGAAGAGCGCAATGATGGTGCCAACTTGGGCCAGTGAAGCAACATCCTCCACAACTAGACTGAAGAACAAAATGACAACAACTTGTCTGTTCCCCTTCCCCCAATTCCCCAATAAAAATCTTAAAAAAAAAACAAAAAAAACATTCTATGAATTTTTAAAAGAAGAAAAAAAGCATAGAAAAAAAAGCATATGTAATCACATAGAAGGCTTGTTCTGTTTAAACAATTATACACATGGGTTAAACAGTGTTCGAAAGGCCTCAAAGAAGTAATTTCCTCTTCAATTCACTTGTTAGGGAAATGTTGGTGGATTAAAAGCCTGAGGCAATGGACTTCCTCTAACAGACCAATGGCTGTCAATGGCTGTTTTTACATAAGCAAAATTGGAACTTCAGACCTAAAGGGGTTCAGAGTATGCCACCCCCAAATATGCCATCCTGGCATGAGGATCATTCTGAGCTGAAAGCAAATGAGGAAAAGCAGACACAGGATGAGCTCCCTGTCCCTCCCCCACCCCCCATTGGCCTGAAAGCAGAACATAAATTCCCCTCGTGAATTCCGTACCCAGAAGTGGGTAACAACCTGATCGCCAGGGACGAGATGGCACCGAGAAGAGTTTACACAAACGAACTTGACTAAATAACCATTATCTTCCATTAGGTCGCCCAAGGACTTACTTTCCCAGTTTGCACCCCTAAAAGCCTAAAGCCATTTTCCTTTGTCTTGCTACTTCTCTACAGGCTTGTTCTTTGTTAAGACGTTAGATAAGCCCAAGTTCTAGCCAACCCCTTTAAGTTACTCCACTGAATTTCTCCTGCATGTGTATCCACTGTGCTGCACATTACTAAACTGTTTTTCTCTTGTGAATATCCTGTCAATTTGCAGTCCCAGCTACAGAGCCTAGGAGGGTTTTTTGTCCTCCCCTCCAGACCTAACACTCATGCCCTTGAGAATAGAAAGGCTCCCTAACATCAGAAGCCAAATGTCATAGTTCAAGAGTTTATATACCCTGGAGGCTTGTGCCAAGAAAAAAAAAATACACGACTCCTTCAACTAAGCAAAAGGACTTGAAACAAAGTTCTGTGGGATTAGTCATTGGGTAACTTTTGTGGCTCAAGGGAGACCTGTAAAGTGAGAAAAAAGGGGGGAACATAACGAAGCTCTGGTTACCCAATGTGAGAGCCTAGAGACAGTATTCATTTAGTCACACATCTCCAGGAATAGATTTCTCAGAAGTCAACATTGAGGCAGTCTCGGACGGTGAATTTGGAGTTTGAAAATCTGGGAGTAGTTTGAGCTGGGCTATTTATGGTTGTGTAGCTTGGGCAAGTTACGGCACCTCTGCGGACCGGCTTTGTCCTCTGTCAAGTATACAGAATAGTGGTCTTTTCTTAGAGTTGTGGAAAGGATCAAGTGAGAGCCTAGGTGTGAGCCATTCTCAACTCTGCATCTTAAAATTAACTTCAGGAATTAGATAAGAAATGTTGATACCTGCGTTGCATACCATAGACTCAAGATGTAATGGTTCTAGGGTGGGCCCTCAGCATCAGTGGGGTTTCAAAGCTCCCCAAATGATTCTAATACGCAGCCACTGACTACTACAGGCCGATTGCTAAAGCAGCGCTTCTCAAACTCTCTTGGACAGGAACACGTGGGGATCCTGCCAAAAGGCAGTTAGGATTCAATAGCTGGGGGCCTGAGAGTTTGCATTTCTGAAAATCCCCCAGGTTATGCTGAGCTGCTCTCAGCTACACTCTGAGTACAGTGAAGTACTGAGTGGCCACAAGCACAATGCAAACAGTCACCCACTCTCTCTCCCCAAACCATTGATAAAAGTGAACTGGCATCTTAAGGTGCTTAACCATAGAGATGGGAGGACTATGGGTGGAGCTGGGCCCCTTGTTAACTCTCTAGTCCTGACTTCCTGTTAAACTTTGTGGTAACTTCCAGAGGAGGGATGCGAATAAAGGGGGATGCCATTTTGGTCTCAGGGCTTTTTTCCACATGGGCGGCCAGTTGGGGCATCAGCCAGCAAGTGTGTGTATACACACTCCTTGGTGGCTTTGTTTCTTTTTTCTTTTCCCAGAATAAACTGTTCTTTTGGTGAATTACCTGGAGAATTATTTGGCCAGTCGACACCATCAACTTTTAGTGATAGTGGTATAAGCTTCAGCAAACGACTTTTTTTCCTTCTTCTTAGGATTGTTTTTTAAAAATAGTGTGTGTACGATGTTAAAAACAAGCGTAAAAGGGTGGTACAAACAGAAGGTATTACTCTGGTTATTGGCTGTTAAGAGAATATTTATTTACAATTACAAGCACACCCACTTGCTATGGTACCACTGCTCCCCACATTCATTACAGATTACATAGGTCATCATTTCTTCATCTGGGTTTGAATTCCTCACCCAACTCGGAAGGAAAAGTGTTCCTCTGGCAATTACAGTGACCTTGCAATTGAATTTCTCACAGCGTCTGCATTTTATTTTCTTTGTCTGTGTGCCCTCAACCACTTGGGGAAGATAATGTTCCTGTATGCCAGATTCCGTGTAGGCGGCTCTCAACTGCTTCAGTTCCTTGCTTGCCATTTCCATGACGGTCATTTCTGCAAATTCTCTTGGAGACGTGGCCCCAGAGAGCAAGTTTTGTTGTAAGTGCGAATTTTTGGGGTTCTTCAGATTGGCAACTTTGCTTCTGATGCAAGTTTTATATTTTTTGAGGTTCTTTGAATACAGGGTAAAAATGTGCTCTTCGATTTCTCTTGCAAGGTTTTGCCACAGATCAGCTTTGAGCTGATCTGTGAAAGAACTAGTTAAAGCTTCATAAAGCAGCTTTGTGCATTTAGTTCTCACAGGCCCTGCAGGACCCAGCAACTCATCTGATCTCTTGTCGGTGGACTGAGGGTCACCACCCTTGACATGCTCTTCCTTAGGTTCCATTGGACTAGGGCTATTTTCAGGCACAACCGTTTCAGTGGCTTTCGCCATCACATCCTGGGACGATAGCCAAGAATTAGAGCTGGAGCCGCCCAAAACCTCATCCTGACTTGCATCATGAGAAAGTCCTGAATTTTCTTCATTTTCACCTGTAGGGAATAATGTAGGGCTGTCCCTCGGTTTGAAATGAGGATCCTTATAAAGTGCTTTCCATTCTGACAGCAGACACTTGGCTTTCTTCTTCAAAGCCACTGTGGGGCAGTTTTTGAGGACTCTGTACACAGCCTTGACCACATCTGTCTGCTGGAGGTGCTCCTTGGTCACGTGAAGCGTTTCTAGTTCAGTCAGGTGATTGCCAAGATCCTCAAAGCTCCTTTTAGACATCAGGTGCTCAATAAGGAAAGCTCTGGCAGCGATCTGGGTCTTGTCAGACATTTTTACAGCTGCAAAGAGAAAAGAGATTTCCATTTTCTTAGGCTTGCATTTTCCAGTTACAACTTCCTGCCAGTTACCGAAGTGGTGTTTTCTAAAAGAGCTAGGTAATAAAAATGGGTGCGACATGTGAGAAAATGGGATCTGTGCTGTGGGATGGTTCAGTTTCAAAAGTCTGATTCTCAGCAGTTAGAAAAAAGTGGCACTGCAAACAGCTTCTGCATCAATAGCTGCTTAAAGACGCCTGCTGGAAGATCTGCTACAACTTTTTCCATTTCTAATTTTACAAGATCAAGATTTGCCAGTTCCTTTGGATGGAATTTGGTGGTAATGTTGGGGACGAAATTATGCCAGTGTCAGCATCAGCAGGGTAAGGCTGAGCGAGGCTGGACTCCTTCCCCCCCCCACATCCCGCTATATCACTCAACTTGCTGATTTGCTCATCTTTAAGTGATACTTTTCTGAATATAAAAGAATGAGAGAAAAACAGGGGGCAGAGGAGATGCTGTTCAGATGTTCCAAGGAACCTGAAGAAAAAGTGAGCCAGCACAGCTTGGGGGGCAGACGGAACCCAAAGGCAACAGGCCCCATTGTGCTGACATCTGAGTCTTCTGGACAATTGGTAAAGGTTCAACTAAGTCATCCAGAGGATTTATGACTTTGGACTAATTGGTCCCTACACCAGAGTTTGGCTCCCTTAACTGTTTTCTTTTTTTAACATTTAGGTGTAAAAAGTTGCTTGATGATTATGTCTGTGTGAATCTCATCCTAGGCAGGCAAATGTTTACCTAACCAGTCTATTTTTCTCTCCACATAACGTACATATGCGTAATATTGATAGCAGGGACCCTATCTTTCAAAAAATCTATGGACTCCCACTTTATAGCGCTTGATATTAAATAACCATCACTGAACGTACACAGGCTAACAACACTGAAGTGATTACAGAGAATAAATTCAGTCTCCCTAGAAACTATCTGACAAGTGCTGTAAAATGTAATGTCTTTTTAGTGAGCAATTCTACTTCTATAAATTTACTTTAAGGAAATGAGAGATGTGGAGGCTGTATATGTAAGAATTTTCTTCAAACTGAGAAGAAACTAGGTCCCAAATAGTTAAACTTGCACATGAATATTAATAGCAGCATTATTCATGATAGATGAAAAGTGGAAACAACTCAAATGTCCATCAATTGATGAATGAATAAACAAAATAAAGTATGTCCATACAATGGAATGTCTTTTGACAATAAAAAGATAACATACTACATGGATGTGCCTTGCAAACACTATGCTAAAAGACACAGACCACATATCGTATGAGTCCACTTACATGAAATGTCTGGAATAGGCAAATCTATAGAGACACAAAGTAAATCTGTGGTTGGCTAGGGCTGGGGAGTGGGAGTGACTAGTGGGGTGGAATGACAAGGGGAGTGGCTGCTAATGGGTGCAGAGTTTTTCTTGGGGGAGGTGAAAAATCTTCTCTAAAGTTGATTGTGGTGATGAGTTACGTAACTGTCAAGATAGTAAAAAAACCCACTGATGCGTACACTTTAAAAAGGTGAATTGTATGGTATATCAATTATAGCTGAATAAAGTTGTTATTTAAAAACAACACATAAGAGTCGGATTCAAATTTTACTTAAAAAATCACATGTGAAAAGGCCAAAAATAGATACACAAAATTTTTGACAGCGGCATTTTCTGAATGGTAAGATTTGTTCTTTTACTCTTTTCTGTATTCTCTATGATAAGTATGTATTAGTTTCATAATCGGAAAAGTTATCAGTCTAGTATAATTTCATGAGAAACTCTTATACGTTTAAGATATGTGCCTGCTGAAAAATGGCATGGTAAATGGGTCAATCAACCTTCCCTCGAGAATCAGAATATTGGAAAGGTGCTACATCACCTGTGACTTTGCGTTCAGATTAGCATTCGCAATTTCCTCAGAAGTCTACTGCTGAATCGAAAACGGCTGACTCTCCCCTCAAACTCTATTATGAAATATAAAGAATTAAGTACACTTGGCCACAACAATGAGGTTTCTCCTGCTGTTTCCATGCTGGCACAGCTCAAGGATGATCAAGATTCTGGGTCTTACATTTTTACCTCTAGAGGGAACTGGAGTGTAGACGACCTGGACAATTTTTTTTTAAGTCATTTAACAGTCAGTCAGTGGGTCATCAATTCAGGATCTTAAGTGGCTATTTTTCTAATGATCAGGAATCAATATTTCAAGATCATTGTTTGTCCTTCTTAAAATTCCACTTTTAAAGACTGACAACTGTAAGGGCGGCCGGTTAGCTCAGTTGGTTGGAGCGCAGTGCTCATAACACCTAGGTTGCCGGTTTGATCCCCACATGGGCCACTGAGCTGCGCCCTCCACAACTAGATTGAAACAACTACTTGACTTGGAGCTGATGGGTCCTGGAAAAACACACTGTTCCCCAATAAAAAACAAAAAAAAACATAAAAAAAGACCAATAACAATAAAAGAGGTCTTCCTAAGAATCAAAGGCTCAGTAAACAAAGAATAGGCAAGATGGTACAGAAGAATTAAAAATACATGCCCTCAACTGCTGGAAATCTCTCTCTGCCTGGGATCGTGGGGTCTGGAGGAAGTCAAGCAGCCATGCTACCATGAACAGCTCTCAAGCCCTCCCCCATTTGCTGGAAAGTTTCCTAACAAAGAAGAACTGTTCATCCTGCCTGCATTCTATATTCATTCTATATGCATCACTACCAAAGAAACCAGGGTTGATCTTTGCTGGATGTCAACAGGCTGGTTAATAAGAGACAGGTCTAGAGTGCCCACAAGGAGGTTAGGCAATATTTAACTCAGGTCAGATCAGAATTTCTCAACGAAGGGTCAGAGTCTCAAGGAGATTTTGAAGGGGATTTAACTGGAGCTCTGCGGCTTCGGTGCCATGCCAGCAGCAGTCTGCGATACCAGCAAAATTTGGTTTTCACACACGTAAACCTATAGAAGTTGATGTATTTATGTATAAGCACTTTGCTCTTCACTTCATATGTCCCTTTATTTACCTCTCCCTCATATCTATTTATTTTAATTTTTAATTGTGGAAAACTACACATATCATAAAATTTACCATTTTAACTTTTTTTTTTAGCTGAGCCATCCTGCCACCTGTTGGCAGCTCAGTGGCAGCTCAGCTCGGGCTGGGAATCGAACTGCTGTGGCCATTTTAACCCTTTTTAAGTGTATGGTTCAGAAATATTAAGTACATTCACACTGTTGTGCATCCAACCTCTAGAACTCTTTTCATCTTGCAATACAATTGCTTTCTCCCCCCTAGCCCCCTACAACCATCATTCTACTTTCTATCTCTATGAATCTGACTATTTTAGATACCTCATATAAGTGGAATCATATACTATTTGTCTGTGACTGACTTATTTCACTCACCATAATATCCTCAAGGTTCAGCCATGTTGAAGCATGTATCGAGCTTCCCTTCCTTTTTAAGGCTGAATAATATTCCATTGTACGAAGAGGCCACGTTTTGCTTGGCCATTCATTCGTTGATGGACATACGGTTTGCTTCTACCTTTTGACTCTTGTGAATAATATTGCTATGAACACGGGGGTACAAATATCTCTTTAAGACCCTGATTTCAATTCTTTTGGGTATATACCCAGAAGTGGAATTGCTGGATCTTATGGTAATTCGATTTTTACTTTTTTGAGGATCTGCCATACTGTTTTCATTCTCCTCCATATTTTTAACAGCATTTAAATCCTGTTAAACTTTCTCTTCCCCTACTGTGGGACAATCATGTGGATATAAAGCATGTATTACCCTAGGAGGGTGTAGTGTGGAAGCAACTGGGATACAAAGTTTTGAGACCTGCCATAAAAATACAAAGCAAGCTGTATGACCAGTATAGAGTTCTACATAGTTCACTCAATAAATATTTATTATGCATCTAGTACATGGTAGATGCTGAGCCTAAAGAGAGACTCTCTGCCTTGAAAGAGCTGCCAGCCCAGTGGAAAGATACAAAGAAACCGGCTGATTTCGCTCCACAAGGACAGGCAAAGGCCATGAAAGGACACAGGAAGAGTACTGACACCGACTCTGGGCCTGCCACCTTCTGGCCAGCTCCCATTGATTCTTCACCGCCCTCACTCTGACTCATGGCGCTCTGCTGGAGGGGTCATCTTCTAGTACAGATCTTAGCAAGACAGTCCCTTATTTCCCCCTTAAAGCCCTTCAGAGGTTCCCCTCTGCTCTCGGGATGGAGTTAAGGTCCTTAGCCAGGTGAGGAAAAGCCGCCTTCCAGCCTCCTCCGTGACCCCACAGAACCACCGACAGGCACTGCCCATGTCACAGCTCTGAGCCTTTGTGCCGGAAGCTCCCTCAGGCTGGCCTGTCTCTCATCATGAGTGATTCTCAATCCTGAATGCAAATCCGAATCATCTGGGGAAATTAAGGGGCAAAACCAAAAACAAACAATGCCAAGCCCTTGTTTGATAGAATGGTAATGAATTAGAATCTCTGAAGGTGGGCCTGGGTTATTGTCCCAGCTGTCCAGATGATTCTGATTTAAACCAGGGCTGCCACCACTGTACAGGCACAACTCCCTTCTTGCAGCAGGACCATCCCAGTTATGCTGCTATCAGCCCAAGGCCAGCTCCAGCTCTGCTTCTAGACTGAATGCACAGAACCTGGCTTCGGATTTTGCTAGATGAGTGCCATTAAATCAGGAAATGTTAAAACTATCTGCTGTGTACAACTCACCTGAGAACCTTCCTACAAATAACAACTGGTGATGGCCATATTTTAACCAACACGATGCCCCCAATTCCTCATATTCATTCCATCACTTACCTCTTAACAGCGGAAGACAATGTATATTTATTGAGCAACTCTGTACTATACACATTCATGTCATTTCAATGCTCACAAGAACCGAGACAGGTGTACGACTTATCTCCATCTTACAGATGAGGAAACCTGCAAAAAACATCAAGTATTTGCACATTTTTTTCATGGTCCATACCACATTAAATTTTTTGTTTTTTAATCATCTGTCTTCCCCACAAGACCATAAGAATGACATTTGTTCCATTTACTGATACACACCTGGCAAACACCTGGCCAATGCTCACTATTACCCAACAAATGTTTTTTGTTAAATGAGTCAAGAGCATCCAGGATGCTCTCTCCTCTCTGCTCGTGAGCATCATTCTGGCCACTACAGATCGCCTTGCTTGTACCCACTGCACCTAAGCTCAGGGCCCCTCAGCTTCTCCCACAAAAGACCAACCTCATCTCAATTCCAGTTAACGAGTAATTTAAAAAATTCTAGTTAAAAAAAATCCCAAACCAACAAAAAAGCAAAAAGGGAGCATGGTGTCTACTGTGGACTAGTCAAGTGAGTTCCAGGCGACAAGCCACTTGGGAATAAGGAGAGTCAAGAAGGTAGAGTTCCCAGAAGTAAGGAGTATTGAGAACGTTGGGTCAATTTCATGACCATTTTGTGCCTCAATTTCCTCATCTACAAAATGGGGAAAACCCAACATCCTAGGATGAGTATGAGAATCAGACAATAGTCCTTATAAAGTCCTTAGAAGTATGCCTGTCACAGTAAGCCTGACTGACAATTACACAGGACTATAATGAAAAGGCTTACATATACAAAGGGTGCCAAAAAACGTATACATATTTTAAGAAAGGAAAACGGCATTAAAATGGTAATAATATATACCGATAACAAAAGATGCATGCGAGTCACGTGTGACTTCTGCAATGACAAGAGGTGCTCAAAGTGGTTCCCATCAGCGTCCAGACACTTCTGATGATGGCGAACTACTGCTTGAGCAACGTTCGCCAAAGTGTCCACTTGTATACATTTTTTTGGCACCCCCGGTATTTACCATAGCAGGTTCTGAAACAGGGGTTTGGCAAACTTTTTCTGTAAAAAGCCAGACAGTAAATATTTTAGACTTTGCAGTCCATCCAATCTCTGTATGGACTACTCAACTCTGCTGCTCTTATACCAAGAACAACAGCCACAGACAATACATAAATGAATGGGTATGGCTTTGCTCTAATAAATCTTTTTTTCGAAGTCAGGCAGCCTGGATTCGGCTGTAAGCCATAGTTTCCTGATCCCTTTCTAGAGCAATGCCATCCAATAGCAATGTAATGCAAGCCACAGAATTTAAAATTGTCTAGTAGCCACGTTAAAAAACAAACAGGTGACATTAATAATACATTTTATTTAACCCAGTGTATCCAAAATACTGTCATTTCAACATGATATAAACAAATTATTGAGATATTTTATATTTTTTCATACTAATTCTCCAAAATTCGCTGTTTTACACTTACTGCAGAACTCAATTTGGACTAGGAACACTTAATGTAGCTAGTGGCTACCATATTGGATAACACAGTTCTAGTGCATATGCTATTACAGATGCTTAGACACACCTATATCCCTAGCTTCTGAATACATATCAAAAATAGAGTTTACACAGCGCCAGCAATAGTGGGCCCTAAATATCTGTGAACCAAATGCATATAAGCTTTTGTAAATATTAACTAATACTATAGTATGGGCAAGGTGCACACATCTAGCCTAATCCCTAAAGAGGAAACATCAAAGAAAAATTTCCAAAAGCTGCTAACAAATCAGCAGCAACCGAGATCTGTTGAGGTCTTTAGATCTAAGATCTAAAGAGAAATTTTAAGTTTCTAGCCGTAACACGTACACCTCTCCAGGTACACAGGGGGCCCTTCGTCTACGGAGAGAAACGATGCCAAAAGTTGGTAGGGGCGTTGTAGTTCCTGAACAGCCACTCAAACTGCGATAGGGTCCTCCCACGTCAGGACGATCCCTAGCAAAGGTGCTGCGAGTGGAAGGCAGCGGCCGAAGGGCCCTCTCTGGTCCGGATTCGGGTTCCAGTGGGTGGGCTGCAGGGACAAGCCAAGCCTGCTGCAAACCGTCCCAGAGTGACAGTCTGGCACCCAGCACACAAGCAGCGGCGGCCCGGAGAAATTGGCCCACCCCCGCGACCTCCCCTGGAGAGGAGAGGGCACGCTCGGGCCTACCCGGCCCCGGACACACCGAGAGCCTCCCCGAGCAGGGGTGGGTTTCCCCGAGCACGGGTGGGCAGAGACCCCAGCCAACCCGTAGCGCGGCTCACCGAGAAGCGCAGGCGATGCCTAAGGGCCCCCGGTGACCCCCGCGCCCAGAGAGAACTTCCGGTCCCCAGGGCGGGACACGAAGGCTCGACCAATCCAAGCCCTCACACTGAAGAACGCAGCCCGGATCCCGAGCGTGCGAGCAGAAGCGGCGCCTGCGCAGAAGGTCGGCGCCCGTGGGGCCGCCTCTCCGCAACTGGAGGACGTCTTACAGTCCGGCATCCCGGTATGAGTTGAAAAAAAAAAAACTAGCCTGACTAATGGAGCCACCAGAAGCTGAAAGAGGCACGGAGGGATTTTCCCCTAGAGCTTTGGAGGGAGTCTGGTCCTGCCAACCCCTTGAGGTGGGACTTCTGGCTCCAGCACTGGAGAGAATAAATTCCTGTTGTTTGAAGCCACCCAATTGTGGCAGCTACAGGAAAGGAACACAATGAATGATGTTGTTACCTGGTGTTGGAGCTCTGTGTGTGCTAATGTCCAAATGCTGCCTCTTTTGTTCTCTTTATGCGCCCACTTTTGGGAGTTTTTTGGAGACCTCCCCCCCCACCCCCGCCCCCGTTGCTGGGGGCCCCTTCTCACCTATTCTCAGATGATACAGTCTGGTTGAACACCAGCTCCTTGCTTTGGGTGGCATGTCCCCACCCAGCCTTTTTCTGTTGGGTCACCTCATCTGCAGCCAGCCCTCTTGAGCAGGGTCTTTCCAAAACAACCCAAGCCTGCCTATTTGTTTGATGTGCACTTAGCCGATTGGAAAACCCCAGCAGCTCTGCTCTCCATTAAGCCCTGGAAGCTGAGGCTGTCCCCTCTCAGCCACTCTCTGCCATCGTAGGTAGTCTTAGGCAGCCCCAGCTGGCTTCTCACCTGTTGAGTTTTTTGGAAGAGTCAAACATCATTTCGTGTACACTTTCATGACAGGAGAACCTGCCAATCTCTCCGAGTGGTTCTCTCAAAGTCCCCTCCACTTGCCTGGAAGGCGGGAGGAAGCTTCCAGAATTCTAACAGCCCTCTTTCACTCTTGCATAAGCTGAAGAGGGGTGAGGGGCCATGGATGACAGAAGTAGTTAGGGGTCTCCTCTTAGCCTCGTGTAAATGGTCTAGCATGTCTCTAGAATCAGTGGACATGTAACAGTGTGCTCAGCTTTGGGGCCTTGGGCGAAACTCCAAGTCTGGGAGAGTACCATTTAACAGTCACTTGGACATGGATTCATCTTTAGGTCATTTCCATACCCGTTCTCCTTTCCCACACCATTCGTCCATTTTTGTCATATCTCTAGAATGTGAGTTTTTCTACCATAGATATATGGCAACAGAATAGCAGAGAAACGAAGGAGCAGCAAGTCTGGCTTTAATCAATTCTTGGTGCAGATCATAGGATGGAAATCCAAAAGCAATGAGACAATATTTATACTTGGTTACTGGGGATGCTTCAAAATTCCATTTAATCAGGAAAATATATTATACAATAGAAAAGGTACAAAAAGAAATAGGAGGAAAGGACGCCAATCCTATTCAAAAACCTCTGCCTGCCCACTCAACTGCCATTGGCACTGCTGTTAAGAAATCTGAGCTGAAGCTTGGCGCTGGGATTTCATTGTCAGAGTGGCTTGTTACCAGGAGGAATGGTCTGCCAGTGATCCTGATATGTGGACTGCTCCAAGAAATGCCTCACTTCATTTTGGTTCTCAGGCCTTTCTTTTCAAGGGAGGTCGTTTTGTAACAGCAGTTCATCAGAGGGCCAAGACATAAGCATTGAACTAAAAACCATTGGTCTGTGCTGCTGCTTTGTCTTTTGTTCCTGCACCATTAGCTTCAAGGCTCATACTCATGGACTGTACACACCACGCACAGCCCTCCTTTCATGATATAATCTGGGCGTGCTGCCAGGAAGGATCATTCATCCACAATATAAAGGATAACTACGTCCACTCCAGGTCTTCTAAGTCTTCAGGGGGAGACACATTTGGCCAGAAGTGCACCATTCTGATTTACGATGCCCAAGTGAAACGTTTTTCCATTTCAGCCTCATTTCCTGCCCATAACGACCTAACAAATTGTACTTGCTGCATCATTTGGCTCATATAATAGTTTTTATTAGTTGTTCTTCATTTCAAACCTGATGCAAACTCCACCTAGGTTTCTAGTTGCTGGAAAGAATGAAGGCATTGACTCTTTGTCATAAGAGTAAATCATTTAGGTTGGTATGTTGGCTGGGACAATTACAAGTACTCAAGCCCAGCTTTTATGTGATGGGGTCCACGTGGTGGACATTGGTGGGTTTGGGCCACCAGCTTTCAGCCCACTTTCTGCAAAGCCAATCAATTGCCCCAATTTGCCCTAGCCAGGGGGCAGCCACATGACCCAAGCTAGGCCAACTGCACACCCCTCCCTAGAATGGGAATTTTGAACAGAGTAATGTGGACACTAACATGGTGAGAGGTCATTCTAGCAATGGTAGCATCCTGATCAGCAATGGCTTCCCCCATAGCTCTGCTTCTAGTCCTGCAGTCCACTTCCAGGGCTGGATCAGTGGTCACCCACCAGCCTGCGCACTCCTGCTTCTTTACTGTAACCTCCCTTTGCTGTAAGTCAGCTGACATCTGTTTCTGTTGCTTGCTACCAGCAAACACTAACTGACACAGTCCCTATCGTAATGTAGCTGGTGAGATTTGAGGGCCGTCAGAGAGAATCCCTGATCATACGATGGTGCCGAAATTGCATCCTTACTCAATCCTTTGTATGAAGAAATTGGAAGCTGCAATTATAAAACAGAAAATATTAGTCAGTAAAGGTTACCCTTGTAGCTGTTTATTCCTGATGCTTGAGTTGTCTTATAAAGGTGGTCTCCCTTCACTTGCTTGTCAGAGACTAGCAGAATGGGACATAGGACCAGTAAGTGTTGATAGGAAAGGATGAAAGTTCTGCAAGATTGGATTCTCCAGGATCTCAGGGGTGATTGAATTGTAAGGTTCTGGGTACCCAGAAAGCAGCATGAGTTCACAAGACACCGGGAAAGGGAGAGATGGAGCAAAGGGGGAACAGAAGAGGTAGTTGAGAGCCCTCTTTGCTGTGTGTGTGGTGGCAGCCACACATATGCACATAGGCTGCCACAAGGGGGCACTGCTAGAACTCTGAGAGGGTCTGAAAAAACGAAGGACGCAGGTGCAAAAAGTGTCTCACAGCAGAGCTGTGTGACTGCAGCTTGGACTCATGAGGAAAGAGATTGTTTCAAAGAAGTGACATGGACGAGGTGATGGTGATGGAATAGAGGAGGCCAAAGAACTGTGAGGCCAGAATATTGGATGGGTCAGTTGCATAGATGTTACCACATTGGTTGATGACAATGTCTAGGAAGGACAGAGGGTTGTAGAGCTATTTAACTGTGCCTCCAATGATCAGTGGCTTTTACACAGATGTCGAGAAACAAGAGACTGAGTACAAGAGTAAGGCAATGAGGATGCCGCCTTCAACTCCAGACCCGGATGTGTGCGCAGTGTGGGGGGATGAGTGGCTTTCATTTGATAAGGCTGCAGAGGTAGAGCTGGTCCTGGGAGAGAACTCAGTTCGGCTAAGGCTGAGAGATAGAGGAAGAGATTTAGGCATGAATTACGATGGAGCAGACTTTGTTTACCACACAATGGAGTATGTGCGATAGGGGAGGGGGCAGAAACAGTGGGAGTCAGTGTCTAGAAGAGGAAACCCCTAACAGTGTGGGGATGAGAGAGTGGGAGAGGATGGATGACATGGGGGGTTTGCATATTGGATGGTGGCCAGGGACAACAGATGTGGGAGGCAAGGCTGAATTAGCTTACCTTAGGTTTCCCCAAAAGAAGCAAAGTATTGGGTTGCTGGAAAAGTCATGTTGTCTATGTTTTTCAAAGGTCATTTATTTATATAAAGAGCAAAGATCAATCAATGATATATTGCCCGTTTTGTTCGATAAGCTTTTGCCATCTTTCAGTGAGCTTCATAATTCCTCGTTCATAGAAGGACCTGTCTTTATTTGCAAAAAACTGAACAAGGTGCTGATTTACAGCCTCATCTGAATTGACCGTTATACCACGCAAGGAGTTTTGAAGAGAGCGAAACAAGTGGAAGTCTGACAGCGCAGGGTCAGGCGAGTATGGTGGGTGTGGCAACACATCCTATCCAAGCTCCAATAATTTTTGATGGGTGATCAAACTTGTGCTGGCCTCGCGTTGTTGTGATGCAACACAACTCTTTTACAATTAACAAGCTCTGGATGTTTCTGGATGATGGATTCGTTCAAACTGTCCAGTTGCTGACAGGACACATTCGAATTGATTGTTTGGTTCCTTGGTAGGAGCTCAAAAAACACGACACCTTTAAAATCCCACCACACTGAGAGCATAACCTTCCTCTGATGAATGTCTGCTTTCGATGTCGTTTGAGGCGAATCATCACGTCGGGACCAAGACTGTTTGCACACCACATTGTTGTAAACAATCCACTTCTGATCACCAGTTATCAGTCACTTCAAAAAAGGATCGTTTTCCTCACGTTTAATGAGCATATTGCAGATGTTTATACGTGCCGTCAAATGAACTTCTTTGAGTTCATGCGGAACCCAAATACCGAGCTTACTTATGTATCCCAGCTTCTTCAGGTGGTCGTGAATGCTTGAATGATGGATATTCAGTGTTTCTGCAATCTCTCATGTCGTGTAATGTGGGTTTGACTTGATCAATGCCTTTATTTTGTTGTCATCAACCTCGGTGGGCCTCCCTGACCGAGGAGCATCGTTGAGATCAAAATCACCAGCATGGAATTTTGTGAACCATTGTTGGCACTGATGTTCTTGTAGAGCATTGTCACCGTAAACTCTATGCAACTTTTCACAAGTTTGATGCATGACCTTCCCTTTATGGAAGTAAAACAGTAAAATAGGGTGAAAATGTCCAGTTTGGTCTTCCATCTTCAACTTGCTATAAAATCTCCAAAAGGCAACCAAATCGCTCTTTTTTTTTAGAATGCAGCTAGAACTGTCAGCTGTGAAATAACATAGCAATAACATAGATGCGAATGACTCTAGTACTTCCAAAAATGAACTAGTGCCATCTGTCACAAACATGCGTCATGACTTTTCCGACACCCAGTATGAGTCGGTGATGGTGCAGGCTAGAGCTCCATGACACTACTGGCTGTTGACTAGAGTTTAAAACAACATGCGGGCATTTATGGGTCTAAGAAGTTAGTCCCCAGATGGCAGGAGCAGCCCTCAGGGACCAGGAAGAGTGCTCACCTGAGTCTGGATTGTGCTGTTTGAAATCCTAGGTAGGCCAAGAAAGGATTTACTTTCCTCTCACTTAATAAAATATCAAGCAGCGACCAGTCTGGGACAGGGGTAGAGATGCCACAATGTCATCAGGGACCCAGGCTTCCCTCATCTATACACTTCTCCATAGGGTGTGGTCCTTGCCGTCGTGATGACAAGGTGGCTCCTAGAGCTCCTACCTTCACAATGACATTGCAGGCAGGAAAAAGGAGGAAGGGGAATGGCAAAAGTGAGCTTCCAGCTGAGAACCGTCTTTATGATCCTTCCTGGAAGTCCCAGCAACGATTCAGTGGCCTCCTCCATCTGAAAGAGATTTTGAGAAATGCAGCCTTTTAGTTGAGCACATTTCCCCCTAGCCCCCCAAATATATTTGTATATGGTTATATTAGTAAGGAAAAAGGTGGGAATGGATATTGGGTAGGTAACTAGAAGTCTCTGCTACAGATATTAGTAAAACATGAAATATTACTCAATTCAACTTAACTCACTTTATGCATTGATTTCCTATCCTTAGGTGACATGATTCCCAGGCCTCCCTATTTCATTTTTGGTTCAGCTTCTCTTCCTTTAACCTGGGTCACAGGGACACTGTCCTTTAGGAACTGCAGGTTCTCCCTTCTATCTCTTTTATTCTAAGCCACACTATGGTCTCGGATTTCCTCAGTCACTGAGTGGATAGGAGGTTGCCTTCAAGTTCTACCACAGTATTCAAAAACACATGTATCAGTTAGCTTTTGCTGTGTAACAAACCACCCCTTAAAACAACCATTTTATTATCTCTTACAATTATGTAGGCTGATTTGATTCAGCTGGGCAGATCTTCAACTGGTATCACTAGAAACACTATTTTGGGGGTTTCTATAACTATCAGTTATCCAACAAGTACAGCCACAGTCCTCTGTAGACGTTGTATGCCCAAATTTCTTCCTACTAAAGAAAAACAATGTGTTCCAGCCCCAAGAGTTTCAGTATAAAAAATCCTGAAAACTGAGACTACAACTTTTAAAGATTAATAGGTGGGCCACCGTCTCTCTTTCCTTCCTCATAGAGCACAGTGCCTTCATTGCTTTAGGCGAGAGCAGGCAAATATCTGGGGAACCTTCTGTTTGGAAGCTATCTTGGAGCTAATTCTGACCCAGAATCTTAAAGCAGAATATCCTTTCATCCTCAAAGAATTCACTCAGGATTCATTACCACACAAAGCCATTCTTGAATTTGGAAGAAAAGAAAAACAGAAAAGAAGGCATCTGTCTTTTCTTTGAGTCCTGCTACTTGCTTAATTTAGTTTCAGGTAGTTCTCTGAGGTCTTGAATTCAACAACTTATGCTAATTTGTATTGCATTTACAAGGTCTAATAAAGCACTCATGTTGTTCCCATAATAGGAAGTCATTTTAAGATAAATTATTTCCATAGAGAAAAGAATAAAACCCACATTTTCCAGCAAAGCAAATAATCATACACATAAGTAAACATAGAATTAACAACCATATTTTCTTACTTAGAAAAACTTAAACCATGACCCAAGGTGATTATTTGGATATTATTATTACAAACAATTTAAATATACAAGTTTGGCCATAAAAGATCAGGCTAAGCCACTTAGGTAGAAATCTATCTGTGATGTCATAGTTTCCAAAAAGTGCCATTAAAGTCAAACATTTCTCTGTGCCTTTTTTTTTTTTGTAATCTAGAAACGTTGTATAGAGAGGTTCATCAACTCATGTAGACAAATCAAATATACTGGGTGGCGGAGTGGGGAGGGAGAAGCAGAACTGACATTTCCACATTTTATAAATTCAGAAATGAATGAGAGGACACAATAGTACTACATTTAAAGCACATATCGATACATCTTATACAAGAAAGGCATCTTACAATAATGTTTCTGTTGGTACATTACAATTTTTCAGTTTGTATTTCTAAAATGGAGGGGCATGTATGATGTCACATCAAAAAACAGAGAACTGACATAAAAAGCCAAATACAAAGATATAAAAGACAACAGTAACATTCAACCATCCACAGAAAAAAGGCTGTCTGGACATAAGCCTGACATCAGCAAGACGCCGTCCACTGCAATTTCTCCAGCTTTGCCTTTGCCACGTTCGGCTTCAAAAATGATCTAATAATGGAGAGGAAATAACAAATTACTTCAAAATATTCAAAACAATGATATAATCACACTATTTAACAGCCTGTTAAAGAAGACTAAACTCATGTGTCCCTACTGCATAGACACAGGCTTTGACATTGAATATGTGGTAATATATTTTCCAGATACCAGGTATCCACACTGAGTGAATATGTTCAGAGAAAAAAGGGTCACTGTAACACCGAAAAGAATCTGGAATGCCCTGGAAAGCTGAGAAGGGTAAGGTTTAAGAGGAAATTTTGTGCTCATGCAACTCAACACCAAAAAAACAAACAACCCAATTAAAAAATGGGCAGAGGATATGAAGAGACGTTTCTCCAAAGAGGACATACAGATGGCCAACAGGCATATGAAAAAATGTTCAACATCACTTAGCATTAGGGAAATGCAAATTAAAACCACAATGAG